TTTCCAAGATAGACCACATACTAGCTCATGGAACATGCTTCAGCAAATGCAAAGGAGTTGAGATTAATTCATGCAAAAAATAAATAAATAAATTAAAAAAAAAGAAATTAGTTCATGCATATTATCTGACCATAGTGTAGTGAATTTGAAACTTACTGGTAAAAGAAACCATAAAAACTCCATAAACACATGGGAATTAAATAACTACTGAACAAGCAGTGGTTCACAGATGAAATTAAAGAAGTAAAAATGTATCTGCATTATTACTTAATTGCGAGGCCCTGAGTTCAATCCTTGGTACTAGGGGGAAAAAAAAAAGACTCAAATTCATACAATTAGGAATGAAAAGGGTGAAATTGCAACAGATCCTTCAGAAATCCAGAATGTCAGTATTTACACTGAAAACCTTTAACAAGATGGAAAACACAGAAGAAAGCAACATTCCTAGGTAGTATGGGTTATCAAAGTTAAATGAAAATGATATAAAAATTCTGAATAATCCAATGTCAGTCAATAAAATTGAAAATATAATTAAAAACTTAGTTACAAAGAAAAGGCCAGGTCCTGATGGAATCAGTGCTTAATTCTACAAGAAACTGAAGAGAAGATCTAATGCCACAACCCACCAAACTCTTTTTATAAAATCAAAAGGGAAGCAGTATTCCCAAAGTCTTTCCTGGAAGCAAATATTATCCTGAAATCAAAACCAGAGGACCCAGCCAACAGAGAACTATAGGCCAATCTTCCTAATTAACATAGATGCAAAAATCTTCAAAAAGATACTGGCAAATATGACCAGGTGTGGATTACATGCTTGTAATCCCAACACTAGGGAGGCTGAAAACAGGAGGATCACTATGAGTCTGAACTGTGTAGTAAGACCCTGTATTAAATACATGAAGAAGAAGAAGGAGGAGGAGGAGGAGGAGGAAGAGAAGAAGAAGAAGAAGAAGAAGAAGAAGAAGAAGAAGAAGAAGAAGAAGAAGAAGAAGAAGAAGAAGAAGAAGAAGAAGAAGGGCAAGGGGAAGGGGAAGGGAAAGAACATCATCATATTCTGGCTGGGTATGGTGGCATATGCCTGTAATCCCAGCACTTGGGAGGGAGGCTGAGGTAGGAGACCAGCCTGGGTTACAAAATGAGCTCAAGACCAGCCTGAACTGTGTAGTAAAGCCCTGTCTAAAAAAAAAAAAAAAAAAAAAAAAAGAAACGTACACCAAGATCAGCTAGGATTCATCCCAGTGAGGCAAGGATGGTTCAACATATGTAAATCAATAAATATAATATACCATATCAATAGAGCCAAAGACAAAAATCACATTGTCATCTCAATAGATGCAGAAAAACATTTGACAAAGTCCAGTGCCTATACATGATAAAAAAAAAAAAAACCTACAGGAAACTTGAATTGGTTTTTATCTCAATCTGATAAAATTCATCTACAACAAATCAATAGCCAAAATCAAACTAAATTGTCAAAAACTGAAAGATTTCATTCTAAAATCAGGAATAAGTCAAGGATGTCTACTGTCACCACTTCTATTCAATATAGTTCTAGAAACATTAGCCAGAGCAATTAGACAAAAGAAATAAATAAAAGGAATAAGGACAGCAGGGGAAGAAGTTCAAATATTATTTGCAGATGACATGATACTATATATAGAAGGACCAAAAACTGTCACTCAAAAGACTTCTAGATTTTTTTTCAAAGATTTTTTTTTCTTTTTAATGTATTTGATTGCTGCAAGGTCTTACTACACAGCTTGGACTCATAGGGAGCCTCTTGTTTTCAGCCTCCCCAGCACTGGGATTATAGGTGGGCACCACTAAGACTTCCAGAGTTAATAACCAGATTCAGTTTCTTAACTGGGCACAAAGTCAACACTCAAAAATCAATAGCATTCTTGTACATAGCAACAAACTTACTAAGATAGAAATTAGGGCAACAACCCCTTTCACAGTAGCATCCAAAAAATTCAATACTTGGGAATCAACCTAACAAAGGAAGTAAAAGATCTCTATATTGAAAACTACAGTACTCTGAAGGAGATGAAGAGGATATCAGAAAATGGAAAGTTACCTGTTGCTCTTGGGTTGGAAGAACCAACATAGTAAAAATGAACATACTTACAAAATTGTTGTACAGATTTAATTCAATCCCAATCAAAATACCTTTAGCATACCTCAGAGAACTAGAGAAAACATTCCTAAAATTCATTTGGAACCAGAAGAGACAGAGAATAGCAAACATAATTCTGGGCAAAAAAGGAAAAGCAGGGGCAGTAGCTGTCCATGCTGAAGGCTGGCCAAATGGCTCAGTGGATGAAAGTGCCTGCAAGCAGGCACAGGGGCCAGGGACCTGCCATGCTAGCCCTGCCTCTGGGCATACTGAGATAGCAATTGAGACTGGACGTGGTGGCTCATGCCTGTAATCCCAAATCTTGGGAGGCTGTAAACAGGCAGATCACTAGGAGTCTGATCTAGTAGTGAGTCCCTGAACACCCTATAGACCCTTCCCTAAAATGAAAAAAAAAAAAAAATTCCATGCTGAAGATTAAAACTAGGCCCATGTCTATCACCATGCACTAAATTAAAATCAAAATGGATTCAAGTCCTAAATATTAAAACAAAAACATTATGTCTATTTGAAGATAAAATAAGTAGAACTCTTGAAGACAGGTATAGGCAGAGACTTGAGGAACAAATCCCCGATTGCATGGGAAATACTACAAAGAATCAACAACTGGGATATTATCTTATTAAAAAGCTTTTACACAGCTAAGGAAATCACCATCAGAGGGACAAGACTACCCAGAGAGTGGGAAAAATTTTCTACCAGTTGTTCTTCAGAGTACTAACATCTAGAATATTCAAACAATTGAAAAAAATGCACCCCCCAAATTTAAAGGCCCAATCAAAAATGAACATCTGAAATGAATAGACATTTCTCAGATAAAGATGTAGAAATCGAAAATAAATACATGAAAAAAGGTTCAAGGTCGATGGTCATTATAGCGATGCAAATTAAAGCCATGCTGACATTCCCTCTTACTCCAGAGAGAATGGTTATCATCCAGAAATAAACCAATTACAAATACTGGTAGGGCTGTGGGGAAAAACTGTAGACTGATGTAACCATTGTAGAAATCAGTGTGGAGTTTCCTAAAAAAAACTAAGGCTAGATGTCCTATTTGAACCAGCTATTATGCTTCTTGGCATCCCCTCCCCCCAAAGAATTAAAAGCATCTTATCAGAGTGATATATGCACAGCTGTGTTTGTTGTGGTGCAGTTTGTAGTAGCTAAACTTGGAAACAACACAAATGCCCATCAACCAAAGAATGAATAAAAAAATGATGCTTTTTAAAAATATAATGCAGTACTACTCAGTCATAAAGGAGAAGCTTGTGACATCTATAGGTAAATGGATGCATCTTGAGACAATATTCTTAAGTGAAGTAAATTGTACATGCATGTATAAATATTGTATTATTTCTGTTTCATGAGAAACAAAATATAGGCAGGCCAAATAGCTTAGTGCATTAAAGCACCTGCAGGCAGGCACAGGGGCCAGGGGTTCAATCCCCAGGCCTGCCATGCTGGCCTGGCCCCTGGGGCACGCTGAGACAGCAATTGAGACTGGGCGTGGTGGTGTGTGCCTGTAATCTCAGCTCTTGGTAGGCTCTAAACAGGTGGATCACTACAAGTCTGATCTAGTAGTGAGACCCTTAACACCCTGTAGACCCTACCCTAAAAAAAAAAGAAAGAAACTGAAAATATAAAGACAAAAATGTATAATAGGTATTGTGAAATGGGAAGAAAATTTTCAAATGGAAAGGGGAACAGAGTGGGGAGGAGGGAAAGGAACAGAAAAAAATAAAAAAGAATAAAATAGAAACAAAGCTTTGTAGAGGAGGGGAAGAAGGGATTGAAGGGCGGCGAGGGGAATGGAGGAAGAAGGAGGAACTAAGATGTATCGTGTACAAGTCCAAGTTCCCTATGAGGCATGTGATCATACTGTATATCTAAATTGTACCAATAAACTTAAGGAAAAAATTACCAATCCAAAGAAAAAATAAACCTTATCTTGAGATAGAGCCTCCTTCAGTTACCCAGGCTTGCCTCAAACTTTTGTTCTCCTACCTTAGCCTTCCAAGTGTCTGGAATTATAGGAGGGCTTATGGGCATGGGCCATTGTGGCTGGCTTTGTACGTATTTCATATAGTATTCAGTTGGCAATGACTGCTAATAATGTACTATCATTTTTTCTGATCAGAAGATAGTAAACAATACCAGAATATTTTAGTGTTAAGGTGCTAGAACATTTTAGTGTGTGTGTGTGTGTTTTAATGTATTTAGTACAGGGTCTATAGGGTCTCATTACACAGATCAGATTTGTAGTGAACCTCCTGTTTTCAGCCTCCGAGCACTGGGATTACAGGTGTGCCACCATGCCTAGTCTCACAGGGCCAGCATGTAAAACATTTTAGTGTTTAGAAGAGTTTGTTTAATAGACCAAAGAAATTTTGTAAGTATTACATTCATAATTTGACTATTTATTTAATTTATGTATTTGGTAGAAGATCTCAGTACACAGCTCAACCTCGTAGCGATCCTCCTGTTTTCAGCCTCCCCAGTGCTGAGATTACAGGCATGCACCCCCATGCCCAGACTCAGTGGCTGGCTCAGCGTGCCTGGGTGTGGGGCCAGTGCGGCAATGTGGTGCGGGGATCGAACTCCAGTCTCTGCACTTGCCTAAGCAGGTGTCTAGTCTGCTGAGCTATCTCGCCAGCCCTTGGCTATTGATTTTGTGTGCATGTTTGGAAATATCATTAAATTCAGACCTATATCTTCTGTACTTCTGAATGTAACCTACATTTGGATTATTTGAAGTTAGTGTCTTCTCTTTTCCCAGATGAGTGGCTTCCAGCATTACTACATATGTTTCTAAGGTTACTACCTGCAGGGTTAGAAGTGGGGACTCACATATTGCTTCTCATTGCAGAGATCAGCTGTGGCCACCCTCCGGAAGTACGGAATGCCATCCTGCTGGGGAACCACAGCTCCAGGCTGGGCAGTGTGGCGCACTACATCTGCCAAGAGGGCTTTGAGAGCCCCGGAGGAAAGATCACTTCTGTTTGTACAGAGAAAGGCACCTGGAGGGAAAGCACTTCAACATGCACGGGTACAACATGCTGCGCTCCTGTTACCTGTGAGCAGAGTCCCTGGGAAGCAGAGGCTGGCAAGCCTTTTTCTGGCCGCCTCCCTCTGTGTCCTGCCCCAGGCTCTGCCCCTCACTTGGGAGGGCGCTTGGTTTTAGATATGTATGTCAGCTAAATACTGATGACTGGGAGGGTGGGCTGGAAAAATAAGTTGGATAGAAAACTTTTGGTGTTCATCTTTTGGTTAAATTCTTGTTTCATCTGCTTAACCAGCTCAGAAATTTTTCTCCATGCACTGTTTTCTCAGAGGGGCATAATAGCATGGCAGCTTTTTAGAGAAAAGTTGATGTTCTGCAAAAGAGAGATTTTTTTTCATATTTTTAAAAAATTAATTGTGATAAAATACTCAAAACACAAAAAATGACCATCTTAAATATTTTAAACTAGGTAGATATTATATATATATATATATATATTATTGTACAAGTGCCAGAACTTTTTGATCTTTCAAAAACTAAAATTCTATATTCATTATGCAAGAATTTGCCATTGTCCCCTTCCTTTACCCCATAGTACTCTCCTGTTCTTAGATATCTCGTGTAAGTATGCTCATGTGGTTTTTTGTCTTTTTGAGACTGGCTCATTTCATGTAGCATAGTATCTTCAAGGTGCAACCATGTTATAGCATTAGCCAGAATGTTTTCTTTTTCTAAGGCTGGATAATGTTCCCTTGTTTGTTTGTGTCACCTTTTTGGAATTTACCCATTCCTCTACCAGTGGACAATTAGTTGCTCCCACTTTTTGGGCCACTGCAACTAAGGATGCTGTGACACGAATGGCCAGGTACATCTCGGAGAGCCTGTTTTTCAGTTCTTTCGGATACATACCCAGAAGTGGCACTGCTGGTGAGGAGGAGTTTTGAGGCTGCACATCCATTTCTGGTAGTGCCATGTGGTATCTGCGGGTCACTGGGCAAGGCATTGTGAACCTTAGTTTCCTTGTTTATAAGAGGGGGAAAGTAAAGTCTGCCTTTTCTTTTCAAAGAGTGTGGAGAGGAAATCAGATGGGGTCATCTATGGCAGCATTTGGCGAAGTGTGCATGTTAGTTCTTTCCTTAATTACTGCACTCATGTAGCTCTCAGGAGTCTGAACAAGTGTACATTTCTGCGGGCTTCCTCTCACCCCTTTGCCTCCAAGAAGCAAAATGGGTAAAGGCAGTGATACATACCATTTGTGATAGTTGGTCAAAGAGTGTGACAAATGGTTGTCACATAGTCTCCAGGGGCTCTGGGCATATGTTCCTGCACATTTACTTGTTGGCCCTGGAGACATATCTCTGAAGAGTGAAATCTCAGTGTAGCTTTGCTCTGAGTCTCTGGATTAATTAGCATCAGGACTGTGGTAGGTCTTGGGTCTTGCCATCCAGTTTTCGACAGGAAAGCTTAACTAGAGCAAGCAAACCATGTGAATTTGTGATTATTTGTCTGAAGAGCAATGGTTTATAACCATTTTGGGAATAGAAATTTGATGAAATCTGCTTATGCAATAGGCACCTATTTGGGGTGCAGTATGTGTTAAGTGCCTTCTGAGGTACCACCTATTGGAATTTATGGTACAATATGAGAAATAGATCCTTCCCCAAATAAATATATACACAGTAATGCTTTGCAGAGAAATTCAAGGCATTCGTGGACTTTTGAAGCCCCTGGTAAGCATCCTTGGAGAAGATGGAAAATTCAGCTTGCTGTGAAGGCTCTGTCTATGCCATAAGATTCCAACATTCAGGCATCTCTTTTATAAAAACAAAAGGATGTAGGCCAGAGACTTCAATCATAGAAGCAAAGAATGAAACTCCAGAGATCTAGTTCAGCCTTTTTTAGAGTGGTTTCATTGACTTGCACAGGGAAGTAAGGGCAAACCTGTGCCAGACAGTAAGGACTCCAGGGCTGCAGGCTTACCAATGGAGAAATACAGGAGGGCTGATGTCTTACCGTACTGGGCTGATGGTCATGCCAGCCTATCACTGCATCTTTTATAGCACCACAAAGATGTATTTGGAGGAAGTAAGCTTTGCTGCCCCCTAAATATGCTCTCACCAGGAAACTACCTTGTGGAGTTGCGTGGCAAGAGAGCTGGGTTTGGCACCTAGACCCTCAGCTGTCTGTGTCATTGCTCAAGCTACTTTGTCTCCACCACTCAATTTAGTAGGGGCATCAGACTTAGTCACTACACGAAGAACCAGTGGATCTGCATGGGGTGCAGTAAGCTATTAATTATCCGATACTTGTAGAGCACTTTGAAGAACAAACATGTTATGTAACTGCTAATTATAATTACCGTCCGCAGCCTGCCACCTTTCACAAAGTCTGGCTCCAGCTGCAGCCTTTCCACAGGCTTTGATTTAAGGAAAGAGGAGCCCTTCTCCCTGTGAGCTGGGATCTTTCCGTGAGGAGGCCTCCGTACCGTCAATCAGGATTGGCAGCTAAATTCAATTTCCACAGATGCAGGCAGTGATTTCCATGCTGATTAATTCATGATGCGGTGCAGATCCGCTCTGGGTGGGTAGGTGGGGGAGGCTTCTGGGAGGGCGGTGAGAGCAGCTGGTCCCCAGGGCTCTTGCTCAGTTGCCTTCCTCTCCCTGTTAGGCACTCAGGTCTTCAGCCCCCTCCTCCATGTTCTATTTACGTTCTCATTGTTTGCTTTGGACTCCCCCACCCCCCATCTCCCTCCTTCTCTGTTTTACTCCATGTACTTACTTGAGTGTTCACTTTCAAACTGAATGTAATAATTTTTCTTCACTGAACATGGGTTGTTTTAAACTACAGTACTTAAAAAAATTTTGGACCCCTGTTCCTTTGGATTAGTAGCTCTTTCTGTAATATGTTTTTAATGGAGTGTGAACTCCAACGAGGTGGTGAGAGTTTTTTTCTCCAAGGCTAGTTTGGACTGGAAACTCCAGACAGCTGGGAATTAGGCAACCGCTTTAGTGTCTGGAAAAATCCCAGGTGGAAGCTTGATGGTAGCGAGTTGGTTTACCTCAAGATCAAAGAGGCTGATTCATTCTTGATAAGAGTGTCTGGTTTGCATTCTGCACAGGTCATTTGGCTTTTTATGTTCAGAGTCTGAGTTAATAATTATAAAGTTGACCGTACTCATTGCATGGTCTTCAGAGGCTAACACCTCTGTGGGAACACAGATTGCTTATCTGCCAGGATCCTTTCTGTGCCCCCAACTTGCCCTGGGTACTCAGGCACTGCCTCAAATGCTTCCAGACTCCCGCTAGCCTCTGCGACTTCTGTTTGGTTGATGGCCTCTACTCCAGCCCAGTGAGTGCCCTTTGCAGCTCCACGTATTGCAGATGGAAAACAAAGGTCAACTGGAATGAACAGGGACGCATATACGAGTGGTCACATGGCTGGGCTGTGTCTCAATATGCGAATAACGTGTGGGCCATTGATATTCCTGCCACTGCTGAGTGAGCCCCAACTTAAGTTGGTGCTTTCCTTGCAGCCTTGATTTTGTTTCATCCTTGGACACACCCGGGAAGTAGCTATTGTTCACTTTCATTGCTCAGAGGAGTAACCTGAGACACGTCAAAGTTAAGCAACTTTCATGGGCTAGTCAGTGTAGGCACTACCAAAGTGAGCACTGTATGGGAGAGAGCATTTGGACTCAGGTCTATAAGCCCTGAAAGCTCACACTAGCTGTCTTCTACACTAGAGAATTCCCATGCTTGAATTATTTACATAATATTTGCCCTAATAAAAAGTATTACAGGGGGCCTTCCCCTTAGCTCAGTTATTTAAGTGGCTGCTTCAACAAAGCAGTCAGGCTCAGGTTGCTGTGGTTCGATCCCCAGAACTCAAGCCAGCCAAACCTGCCCTGAACGCATTCTGAGCCAGCTCCCCCCCACACAAAAAAATCCTTCTGCCATTAAAAAAAAAAAAAAAAAAAAAAAAGTATTATTCACTCACTATGTTTCTTAAAAGGACTTGTATTTTAAAACTTAAAATCTATGATTTAAATTTACTGATGACTCATTGCTACTTGTTTCTCAATAAAATTATTTAAAATAAGTAAATAAGTAAATTTACTGATGAAAGACAAAAACCTCAAAGCAAATCTAGACAAGTATCAATACGAAATTTCTACGGAGCTGACAGAAAAGTTGGTGTGTACCAACCACGCTTTAAGCCCCTTGTGCGATTTAACTTATTTCTCAAAACCACTGACTAAATCAAGAACTGTGTCATTTCTAGTTTCCAGGGGAGGATGCTGAGACAGGACTGTCATGAGCGTGCTAAAGAACACACAGCAGATCTGGATCTAGACTCAGGCCCAGGGCCCAGCGTGCATGTGCTGCACCACTGGGACTTTACAGCCCGGATGTTTCTCACCAATGAATAAAAGAAAAAAGTGTGTTTTCTAATTCAAGTATAATTGAACTTTTTGTAAGTTTTTAATAAAATCTGCAAGGTTATACAAAAAATGAGATTGATATAATAAAAATGAAAAAAAGTAAAAAAATAAATTTACTGACGAAGACTACTTGGTAATATATATGATGAATATTCACAGCTAGATTTTTTTCTAGTGGACATAAAAACATAGTGAAGATGTACACATATATTCACATGCCAGCCCAGATCGCCCTAAACTATGTGATGCATTTTACAAAAGCACTATTCTAAGCCGTGCCACTTCTGCCAGTTTTATGTGACTTTAAGGCTTAAAGAGAGGAAATGTTAGAATTTTTATAGTAAGCATGCATTTATTCAAGTAGTTCCCCTTGGGAAGATATATCCTGACTTCAGTGTTGCTGCCCTTAACAAAAGGTGTTTGTTTGTTATTCCTGTTTGGGAGCAGGCCTTTGGAAGTGGTATATAAAAGTGGTATGAGAAGATTGTCATTTTGTTTTTGACATCAGATACTGATTCAGCTAGAGATGACACTAGCTTGACTATCTGCTTGGGTCCCCTGAATGTATTCTGAGTGATCTTTTACTGGTTCCAAATATAAAGAA